CGCGCCTGGGGAGCGCTCCACACCGCTTGACGCAAGGCACAAAGCGAGCGTCACATTTCCAGGACCGCAAACAGTAGGGTTCGGGTACAAACCCGCTTTCCAAACTTAAAACCGAAATCAAAAAGGAAAAAGAAAAACAAAATCAAGCTAGGGTTCTCGATCCACTTACCTTTCCTCCGATAGCGCTCCAACTCGTCTCCACTCGGCAGTAGCAGGCCACGGAGGCAACGACGAGCGACGGGCGACGAAGACAAAGACGACGGGCGACGAAGACGACGACGACGAAGGGCAACGGCGGTCGGCAGCGCAAGGTAAGTGATTTCATTTTCCCTTTTTTTTTCTTTTCTCCTTTCTCTTTGTTTTTTCTTTCGTTTTCTAGCTTTTTATTTCTCCTCGATCCTCAACGAGAAGGTTCTTTTACTGTAGTTCTTTGTTTTTTCCTTTTTTCCTCCAGCCTTCGTTTCCTGTAGGTATATCAAGTTGGAATGGCCTTTTTTCTTTTTTACTGTAACTATTTTAATTTTTAACAGTAAAAAACAACTTTAGCATACATAATATATTAACAGTTAAAAAATTAATTGTATGTACTATGTAGGTTGTAACTTGGTGTAAATATATGAATTAAGTAAAAAGTAACTGTATTTTAGCTATTTACTCTATTTAATGTAGCTATTTTACTGTGGCTATTTTAACAGTGAAAAAATTAATTGTAATTGATGTGCAATCATTTTCAATTAATTATTTCTACTTTCTAGTAACTCATAAATGTGCATATGACTGTTGAAATGCTAACTAACTTACAAAGAGAGATTTACGGACTAATTGATTGCTTCTTATTAATACATAATTACATATCAGTCATAATTGTTTTGGTGTAGATGTCTTCATACTCTGGAGTGTGCCTCGCATCGCTCGGGCGCGCGCATCGCATTGCACATTGCGCATGTGCGCGTAAACTGACTTTGCGCCTCGCGCATTGAAAACATTGGTCTTCAGGTAAATATCCATAATATTAACCCTCAATTGACTAAATTTTCTGTAGAAAATACACTGCTAATCACACTATATTTTAATTGATAGCTGATTGGTGGGAGTTGTATGGTACATCAGCACTAGAGTTGCAGAAACTTGCTGTTAGAATCCTCAGCCTTACTTGTAGCTTCTCTGGCTGTGAAAAAAAATTAGAGTACTTTTGAGCAAGTATGCTTAGTTTTATTTAATTCAACAATATAGATTTAATTCCATTAGAGAGATAAATATTGATTTGGTTTACTTGTATAAATTACAGATACACAGTAAGAAGAGGAATAGATTGGATCATAAGAGGTTGCAAGATCTAGTTTAATGCAAGTACAACCAATCTTTGAAGGAGAGATTTGACTGTAGAGATTCCATTGATCCGATCAAGTTGGCTAATATAGATGAAAGCAATGAGTGGTTGTTAGGGCGCTTCGGTGAAGGTGAAAATGCAGAGAATGCCTTGGTGGAGGGCGAGGATGACGTTACATATGATGTTGTAGGAGATGCAATGGGAGCTGAAGAAGATGTTAGATATTTAAGGTCGACTAGTTAGGTACGAGAATCTTCAGGTGGTATTGGTTTATCATCGAGGAGGGAATCGGTTCCAAAGTCGGAAGACGAAGAGGAGTTTAATGATGATGAGGAGACGGAAGAGGAGGATATTCCCCTTGAAGGGGATGATGATGATGTTAATGAGGATGATTAGAGTCATTAGACTATTATTTTGATATTTATTTGCTTTGTTTTGGTGGACAATTTGATTTGCTTCACTAGTTAAAACTTTATTTTGTGATTTGGCAGTATATCTTATTTATCTTTGAGTCATTGACATTTTTATGTGAAATTTCACAAATATATATTTTTCATGCAAGTTGTATATCTTGAAAAATTATGTGGTCTGGAGTGCGTCTCGCTTGACTCGGGCACGTGCATTGTATTGCGCCTTGCACATATGTGCGTAAACTGACTTTGTGCCCCGCATTGCGCCTCATGCATTGAAAACACTGCAGCCAACATATCGGTTGATATATTGGCTATGTTAGGGATATATCGCCAAAAATTGCCAAAAATCAGTAAAGTATATTTAGACCATATCATTTTGCTGCAAGACTGTTAAAAGGATATATCGGCTTGTGTATCAATATATCGGGGATATTTCAAATAGTGTTTATTTATACTCTTATCAACATACATTGTCTGTTATTAGCAAATAGAACATATGTGTGCATTACTAGCATGTGCTGCTTCACAGGTACCCCTATTTTTCATCATGTTTAAATTTCATACTATATTCATGCTTCTTGCCTTGAACTCATCCCATCTGTCAAATTTCTACTCCATTCCATGATTCTTTACCTTTCAATGGTTGTCGTTAAAATTTAGTCATTTTGTCAATCTTCCGTCCATTTAGTTCATCCCAGTACTGAATCTTCAGATGTTCTACAGAAGTTCGTCTTTTCTGCTCTGTGATATATCAATGAGTTATTTGATGATCTCTATTGCTCAATTGGTTAGTTTATGGTAACTGGCAGATAGTTTTAGCAGAGTTTCAGTTAGCATTAATCAACCATCTAAACAAAAACTAAATCAATATTTACATAACTATATCACCACTATTGACAGAATTACATATCAAAAATCATAATTACATTACAACTAAAATATTATGTACCGCTGCATGAGTATGTTTAGCATAAACATAGAAGTAGGGGTGTCCATCCGGGCCGGGCCGGCCCGGCCCGGAAAACCAGGACCGGGTCTAAGCGGGCCGAACACCGGGCCGGCCCAGTTTTGAAATTTGTTATTTTTTTAAAGTTTTAAAGAAAAAAGGTAAAAATAGACACAATTTTGATTAAAAAATTACATTATTAATCATTTGTAATTATGTAATTTACAAATATAAAAAAATATAAAAATTAAAATAATATAAAATAATTATAGAATTTATAGAAATAAACAAAATTAAAAATAATTATAGATGTCAAAGGGGCTGTTGAATTTATAGAAATAAACAAAATTAAAAATAATTGTAGAATTCAAAGAGCCCCAAGGCCCTATCAAAGACTTTTAAATGTATATGTTGTAGCTAGAATTTGAACCATTAACCTCCTCTCCAAACTCCTAAAGTTTACCACTAGACTAAATAGCCCAAAATATTCATGTCATTCATATATTATACATAAACAAATTGTAAGTACTTATAGAAATTACATAAACAAATTGTATTATACATAAACATATATATAAAAAATATAAATTATATATATATATATATACTATAGAGAGAGAGAGAGAGAGAGAAATTATGTCAACTTAAGTTGACATCCACGCAAACTTTCTTAACCATCTAGATACTTTCCTTAGGATCCTTGCATGATATGAAGTGACTTTATATATATATATCTATAAGTGAATTAAAGTTTGTGGACAAAGGTCTTGTCACTTAAGTTGACATAAGTATATAAATACGTACTTATTATGTATAAATATATGTGTAATAATATATTTATACTCTTATATATATATATCATATATATACTAGTATACTATATAATATATATATATACTATAACTATATAATAGTATAAATACATATAAGAGTATAAATATATATTTATATATCTATACATATATATAAACATAAACTTATATGTACATATATAATTATATTTATATAAGAGTATAAATATATATACACATATTATACATATGTAAGAGAGAGTATACTTATACATATATATACTTATATAAGAGAGAGTATACTTATATATACTTATATACTAAGAGAGAGAGTATAAATATATATACATAAGAGAGTACACACTATATACTTATATATACATATATATACTTATATAAGAGAGAGTATACTTATATACTAAGAGAGAGAGTATAAATATATATAAGAGAGAGTATACTTATATACTAAGAGAGAGAGTATAAATATATATATAAGAGAGAGTATACATTGTACACATATATAAGAGAGAGCATACTTATACATATATATAATTATATAAGAGATATATACATATATAAGAGAGAATATACTTACATATATACTTATATTAAGAGAGAGCATACTTAAATATATTTATACATATATAAGAGAGTATAATTATATATACTTATACATATATTAAGAGAGATCATACTTATACATATATATACTTATATAAAAGAGAGTATACTTATATATACTTATATAAGAGAGAGTATATTTATATATACTTATATACTAAGAGAGAGAGTATAAATATATATATATATATATAAGAGAGAGTATACAATGTACACATATATAAGAGAGAGCATACTTATACATATATATAATTATATAAGAGATATATACATATATAAGAGAGAATATACTTATATATACTTATATTAAGAGAGAGCATACTTATATATATTTATACATATTTCATACATATATAAGAGAGAGTATACTTATATATACTTATACATATATTAAGAGAGAGCATACTTATACATATATATACTTATATAAAAGAGAGTATACTTATATATACTTATACATATATATACTTATATAAGAGAGAGTATACTTATATATACTTATACATATTTTATACATATATAATAGATAGTATACTTATATATAATTATATTCTAAGAGAGAGAGTATATATATATATACATACATACATATATAAAAAAATATCATATATACATATATTATACATGTAAAAAATAAAAATAAAAAAATTAAAAAAGTTACTATTCCGGGCCTGACCCGGGCTCGGGCCGGTCGCCGATGACCGGGCCCGGTTTTGGCCCGGATTTCCGGGCCGACCCCGGGCCGGGCCGGAAATACATAGAAGTAGTAATTCAAACTAGAAAAGTAAATATTATGCAAGCTATCTTAAGGCAAAGAATGATCCCACTTGAACTAAACAAAGATTCTCGATACAATTTTTTAACTTTCATTGGCATTATGAGTCGAATAGAATTCCTACCTTGTTGGTAGTAGGAGATGAGGGAATTTCTATGTTCAACAGACAGCTTTTGGGAAAAAGCCCCTTCTCGGTGTCCCTAATAGCAGCATGTATCAACGGTAAACAAACACCAACTGCATCCTTGAAGTGGCTTTCATTACTCTCATTCTTCCTCCTTAATAATTTGAAAAGACTTCAGTAAGAAAGCATGTATCATTCAAAAACCAAATACGAACAATAGAGATGCAAAATTTACCAGCTTAATGAGATTGATAAGGAAGGTACTCCACAGAGTAAAGCTTCTCTAGCTCCCGCAATAGCGCCCGAGTAAAGGCTATAAGGATTTTTACAGCAAATAAGAAAAGGATCCAACTCTCATTAAAGGGCGTAAACAGCTACGACTTAATTCATTTTTACATGAGGAATAAAAATAGAGTGCTGGAGAAACTCCAATCCATCCTAAAGACACAAAGTTGCAAGAAAGCATACATATGGAACGACAAAATGGAGTGAAAAAGCCAAACAAGACAAAGCAAATTACTAGCAAAAGCTATAAAGAGCATCTTATATATATCTAGGAATAAAGGAAACAACCAGAATACTTACATATGATGGCCACAACTTGATCCCTTGTTAATTCCACTGACAACCTATATGCAAAATGGCACAGTTTGTGAGTTGTGAAAGGCACTATATTATGTGTATCACATTGCATCATTTTTAGAGAACTATTTATACCAGTGCTGGCCTTGACCAAGAAAATAATGACCCAGACAAAGCTAAAGATACACAATCAACAGGAGTACCTGCAATTATATACAAAATCTACCGATGGTTAGAAAACAAACTAGGGTATGACTGTATAACATCATAGCTTACATCTCAGCAAAACATCAATCTGCAAGTAATCATATGATTGTTAAGTTTCAGTCTAAATTAAAATTACTTGCTGGCTTATGCAGCCTAAAGTGGCATAAAGGTTGTGAGATTCCGGAAATTACCAGAAACTTCAAAAGCTGTGGCTCCATGCATTTCTGTAGAATTCACAGCAAGGGTCTCACAAGGTGTAACTGAGTGCCCAGAAGCAGACTTATCCCTTCAAGATTAAGCAAAAAGAGAATTAAAAAGGGAATATTTGAAAAGGCTGTCTGTATAATTTTCCAGTAGTCAACTCCTGATGCATGAGTCTCAAGGATTAACTTTTGAAAAAACAAATATATAAGAAAAAACATGTTAAAGAAAATTTAGGTAGAGGGCATGAACATTATATCCAAAGCAAGTGCCAGCTTTGGTAAAGACTAAATTCACCACTTACACATAGCCACATACATTTTTCAACTTCAATACTTAAAGTGAACTATAACAAAGCTTTAATGGCCAAGGCCTGAGAGTTAAGTCTACAGGCTCCTTACATCCATAGAGCAAGATAAATTGAGAAACAAGTACGCGTGGTCCATTCTCTCTACGATTTAGATCAACTCAAACATTTCCCCCAGGCATAAAATGTAGAACTTTGATGAAAAGAAAATCCATAGATCCCACATTGCTAATAAGACTATAGGATGTACTTGATGCTCACTTTATATGGCATTACACACAACAAGCCTCACATCAAACATTTGAGAATCCCTTGGTTACTAGATTTATAACTGATGGTCTTCAAACATTTCTTTTATCTTCCTGTGTTTTTCATTACATTCATATTTTTTTTTAAAAGCTTACAGAAAGGGAGGAAAACATTTCCACTTCATATATTTACCATTCCATATTTTTTTCATTTTGGATGGTTTCTCTGCAGCTTCTACAACAGGTTAACCTCCAGATATTCAAAGATGAACACCAACTAAGAAATCAGGAAGAAGCAAACAAGTCCAAGGTCAGAAAGAACTAAGAAATCAGGAAGAAGCAAACAAGTCCAAGGTCAGAAAGCACAATGAGAACCAAAACCGGCAGCTAAGAAGCCACGATTGCAGAAAAATTATCTGATGCATTACATCTCCAACCCAAAAATTTTCTAGCTAATTTTGTGGACTATTATTCTTAAATTTGACAAGATAATGATAAGAACAATGAACCACTCTGTCAATGTCAACAATAAACCTCTATCCCAAATCCCTGGGAAAAAGATTACAGGTTTTTCTCCTGCATCCATATTTTCTTAAAACCATCACCTCTCCTGAAATTAAAAGTATCACATCCTCTTAAGTTAAACGCTTCAATATGTTCGTTTAGGTTACATTGAGCACTGTGTTCCTCCATCAGCTATGATTCTATGGTTCCTTCAAGCTAGCCACCTAGGGGTCAACATTGCACATGCCCAAATAATCTAAACAAAATGTCACCGTTTGACTCGCAATCTAAGTGTTCCCCGAAATTCTAATTTTAATAACAAAAAAATTTTGAATGAAATACCCACAATAAGGACACCAACAACCCAAATGTGAAGCAATGCCCAAATCCAGTAAAATCCAAGGAACCCACTTCCAAAAACACCCAAACGCAGCAATCCAGAACCCAAACCAACCAATATTCCCAAGAAATAACCAAAAGCAAGAGATACCCACTATGCAGAAACCCCAAAAAGAGAAGCATCGCCGATCAAAATCAGATTTTGAGCAACGAACAAATACGACATCGAAAAATCAACCACGCCCGTTACTTAAGAAGAAAAAAGAAGCCCGAAAAGAACTCACGAATCGGGAGCGCAGACGTGGACGTCGTACTCGCCATGGCGAACGAGAGCCTGGACGAGGAGTTCGAGCCCGGGGGACCCAATCCCATCGCAATTCGTGACGAGAACCACAGGCTTCCTCGATCCCTCTTCGTTGCTTTCCTCGGTTTGGGCCTCTTCCGTTGATGGGTTCCCTTCCTTGGTTTCTTCGTCTCCGCCGCCTTTTCGGGCGATGAGGGCGTTCTGGAGGTTGGAGATGAGAGAAGGGGGGAGATGATTGGTTGACATTTCTAGAGAGAGAGAGAGGGGATTGAAGAAGGGAAGAGAACGAGGCTCAAGCTCAAGAGAGAGAAAATGAGGGTGCTCGATTAAATGATAGCGAGCGAGAGAGAGAGGGATTCGGTTGCCGTTGCGAGTTACAAGGGAGGGATTGAGAGTGAGAGAGCGAGAGAGAGCGGACAAGGAAGGGATAGATTGGACTGTTCGAACTTCGAACCCTTGAACGAGTAAAATCAGGACATGGTCAAGCTTAGGGGTGAGCACGGTTCGGTTCAAACCGAAAAAACCGACCGAACCGAACCGAACCGACCCGAAAAAAGCGGTTTTATGAGTAAGGCGGTTCGGGTCGGGTTGATAATTTTTCAAACCGACCCGACCCGAACCAACCGAATATATTCCCTTGCCTCAAACCCTACCCGTTTACCCGTTTACCCAAAGACAAAGCAAGTCCGTTACTAAAAAATTACAACGTCAGAGTCTAGTATTTAATCCAAAAGGACAAGTTACTTCACTTAAAAACAGTATACATACATGAGCAAGAATAATAAATTGAAGTGAAGTTAAAAAATAAATACATGCTGACATAGGGTAATAAGAATATATAAAAGATAAATTGAAGTGAAGTTATACTTGATGAAGTTAGAACCGAACAAACCGAACCGAACCGCACCGAACCGATTTGCAATGGTTCGGTTCGGTTTTGAATTGTAGGTGGTTCGGTTCGGTTGTTCAAATTTTGGTAAAAACCGACCCGACCCGAACCGTGCTCACCCCTAGTCAAGCTAAACAAAAGTTAAGCATAAATTAGGCTTATTTGCACTTTGGCACCGAAAAGTTTTATCTTTTTGTCACTTTGTTACCCCCAAGTTTTTCAATACTTCGGTACGCTAAGCTTTGAATTACATTTCGCTTTGATACCCTGCCCATTTCTCGTTGGATTTTTTGTAATTTGCATTGCATTTAGGTTCATTTTTCTTAGTTGCCAGGGATCTAAACAATCGACTGTTTCCAATAGCGGCGGATGTCGCATGTTTTAGCTTCTGATTCAAATTTAATGAAAAAATCTAATAAAATATGAAACGCGTATCAAAGTGGGAAAAAAAATTTAAATTTTTGAGGCCTTAAAACGTTGAACGAGGAAAATCCAGACATCAAACTCGGAAAAGGGTTAATTTCACTTAACCTCCCTGTACTTTTAAGGCTTTTGCACGTAACCCCCCAGACGTAGTTACCTGTTGATGGTGGAAATTATGAAAATGTGATATCTAAGTATTCAAGCAATTTGTATCTAACATTTACAAATTAGAATCCCATTTTCATTCAGCTCATTTAAAATTAATAAATCATTTGAAGTTAGTAGCTCATTTTTCATTTGGGTAAATAGATTCTCATAGTCCTCTCTTTTGAGAAATTTTTAGAGATCCGTTACTAGCATCTTCAGTGGTACTTGTCAATCAGTAATTATTTTACAAACTCTTAACAGTTACTTATTTGGTATATATAAAGAGGTTTATCTACAACTTACCTTCTGTAAATGATATAATTCTTTCTTTTGGTAACTTTCTGAATTGAACATACATGCTCAAGGTTGGAAAATGA